GTTTTGACTACTGAGGGGAAACTAAGCTTAAATGAGAGTTCTGAGAACAGGACCTATAGTGATTTACATAAAATGATTTTTTGCAAATGCAACTGTAAAACAAGCTGATTAAAAAAGACATTACATACTGATGTTATTGTTAAATATTAGAAAAAAATTATATTTAAATCTGTATATATTGATAGTATTAAGAACTATATTTGTTTAATGTTGGTAAAAGGAAAACCTATTGGAAGAAGAAAGGACCAAGGAAAAGTATTTCTAGTTAATATGTTAATTATGAAAGTATAGAAATTAACTACTATTCACTGTTGTTAAATATATGAACCCAGACAACATGTTGTTTACTAAGCACTAAAGATTGTCATTCTAAAAAAATCAATAAAATATACTTAAAAAAAAAAAGAATATAAAGCCTTCCATTCCCCACCATACAGTCAGAACTGAAGAATCTTCTTAGATCACAGGCAAAATGTTTTCAAGAAAAAAACCCAAGAAACTCCCATTGCCTTTTGGAAAAGCACCTTTAGGTATCCTTCCTACACTTCTCTCTGGAGATAAAGCAAGCTTTCCCCCTGCCATTCTCCAACAATTCTCAAGTTAGAAGGAAGTCTGAATACAAACTGTTTATCATGTTAATCCATAGCACCAGTTACAAGAAAGCACCATCACATCACTGGTAAATCTTGCAGAATGGGAGAGATTTTAACTGTCTCTCCAGTACATTTTTCCACACAAATTTATTTTGCTTTTATAGCACCTGATTCTAAATAGTTGATGTACAAGAATAATGATCTGTCTTGATATGCGGTGAGCTATGCATTTAACATTTTGAATGTGCTTTCAGCTCCTCAAGTGCAAGTGCCAAATAGTTTTAAAGGTGGACATATAAGCATTTACTACCACAGGTGTCTCAAAGTCAAAGTATAGATTGGGAGGAAAAAAATCACAAAACTAGTACTCCCCAGCCATTATTAATATTTTATAATAATAGCATGCTGAACTTTACAGCCAAGATAAGAATAATAATAAAATGACTCATACTGAAACATGGAGGCAGATTAGTCACTTAGTTGGTGCAAAGCAGGAAAACAAAGAATGCTGTTTCTCTGTGCTTAACAGTGTGGCTCAGTTATTTTTTTATTAAAATAAAAATATAATTGTATTTCAATCTAATTATCTGGTACTTATGAGAAATGGTACCATTTTCCACCTTGTCTGTATTTTGTGTGAGCTTTTAATGGCACAAAAGCGCCAGATTGTAGCAGAATTAGCCCAAAGCAGATAGCTAGAATGAAAACAACCCTTGATAAAAGTAGGTCTACATGGACGAAAATTTGTCACAAAGGCTGGCTTTGAGAAGATCAAAATGAATGATAGCATTAAACTGAAGAGGGAGTGATTACACCCTGCAGATTATACCAGAAAGATTAGGTTTATTGTCAGTATCGTAACAAGTAATTTTAATAGTTTAATAAGTTTTCTGTGCTTTACTCAGCTGATACCAGTATCACTGATCTCTTTAAGAGCCAATCTGATAATGAAAGATTAAAATTTTGCTTCTGAAACTAGACTTTCTCTTTCTAGTCATATAAACGTTAAGCTACTATTTTGCATATGGTGTTTAAATATGTTTATATGTATATAAAAGGGAAATAAGAATTTTGTGTTCCAGATGAGTATATTCTGTTGACTGAAGACCACCTTGGAATATAAGTAGAAGATACCTGTGGCCATGATTTACAGTAGGTTAGAGAAGCGGTCCCCAACCTTTCTGGCACCAGGGACTGGTTTCAGAAGAAAAATTGTCTTCCATGGACCAAGAAGGAGAGATGGTTCTTGTGCAATCTAGATCTTGCATATCTGCAGATGACGTTTCCTCCCCTCCATGCCCAGGGAGGGGGAGGGCATGTTGGGGACACCTGGGTTAGAGGATATGAACATAATTCCTACATGAGTAATAAGATAAAGAATTCTCTTTTTTCCTGCTTGTGTTTTTATTTTTCTTTGGATCATTGTTCTGCAACAATCCTTGATCATTTTGGCTTACTGATTGTATTATTCCAAGTGGCCCTGCTGCAAATGCTGCAATGCATTTTTCCCCCTAGATCTTTTCCTGTAAATGCCAGAAAACAATCTCCTCCCCATCCCACCCCTTGGTGCAGATTCCGTCTTTTTTTCTTTTTCTTACAATCTTTTTCTATTCCATAGTTCCTATTGGCTGGATGTTTGGATTTTGTTTTCTTTCTACAATCCTATTTTGTTTTTCAGTGTTAAAATTTCTTATATATTGGATTTTCCCTGAACATAATTATAGTATCTTCTTTTCTCCTCCCCTCCCCCCAAATATATTCATTTTGACTATAGGCCTGGTGGCACAACTCTTAAACTACCTAGTAGAAAGAAATAATGTTCACCCATTTGTTAGTTTGGAATAGGTTGTTTTGCTTTATTCTGTCAATTAAATTGTCTTTGTGGCATTTTTATAGTTTATACATGTTTACTACTTTGGGTTTAACTGGCAGTCTCCTTACCTTCACATGAAAATACCAATCCAATACTTGGTCACCCAGAATATCATCTTCCAAATCATCTCAATGTAAGATGAGCAGTTTCTCTTAAAACTTCATCCTGTTGTTTTCCCAACCATTATTTCAGGCAAAAGTTACATGTTCTCTTCCTCCTCAAATGACCAAATCTGGACTAAAGCAAATCAGGACAACCAGTAGTTGACAGAGAAGAGTTTTCTCTGAATTTCTTTGCTGTGATCTATTTCCTGTCTGGAATTTGCAGCCAAGGTTCAATAGCACTAGTCCATGTATATCTTTCAAGCTGGTTATGTTCAGAAAGAGACAAAATAAACATTTATTACCAAAAATTCAATGCCATCACTTGGCATGGATTCATTCCATTTCACATAGGAAGCTTTTCCTCTTACTCATCACATGAGGGCTTACAAACTATCCCAGAGTGAAGGGACTTCAGAGTGAAGGGTGAATATTGGGGATTACACTTTTAAGTCATCGTCATTATCATCATCATCATCATCATCATCCCTCTGGTATGAGATCTGATAGGTCTCTGTTTGGGGCCAGAAGGTGTCAAGGCATTGCCTTTATCCTGCTATTGCTGCCATTTTGATCATCCTGACTCCTTGTTTCCTGATTGCTTAATTTCACTTGCTGGATGGATCTAGGACTGAAATGCCAGCTTCTGGATCAAGCAGCAAATGAAAGCTAGACAGTCTCTGAGACAGTTATGAGTTCTTTTTCAGACTGCCATGGCGGGATATAATGGGATGTGGAAAACTCGTCAGATGATATTATTTTTATATTCTCCTATGAAAATAGCAGCCATGGGTAGAACTACATTAATCAAATAGGTGGGAAATAGGGACATTAATTAGAGGGGAAGTTTTTTTTAATTATATATATTAAAAAATCCCAATGTGTTTCAATTGAATATCTCTGTCAGGGGAATGAAAACCAATAAATGAAAATGTTTTCAAAATACATTGAACAAAATTCCATTTTGTTCAGACATGCATTATTTTTCCCAAAATTAGATTAGCCCCCAACCCTGCTGGCCTTTCATAAAGCCTCGAAGAACTGGTTTTTCTCTTAGGAATGAAGGTCAGGAAGAAATTGAACCCACAAATTGAATGTATTTGTTGTTTGTCTTCAGTGGCCATATTTCATTTATTATATGTGTGCTATATCCTGTCATTTTATTGATATGTCTATTGTGTCAGCTTTCCAGAATTGCTTGTATTTGATATACATCTGAAATAATACAGATTACATAATTAATGTATTCAGAAAGTTTTTGAGAATTTGCTAACAAGCAGTTTAATGTGCACTCCTTTTAAATATAAATGAGGAACAAAAGCAGGAGGAAGAAAGCACTATGTACAGTGCCTTGAGCTCCTGAATGAAAGGCAGAGTATAACTCAAATAAATAAAATCAGAGTGCAAATTTGATTCAGTTCTGAGCTTATTGAATGACTTAAATTGCCCAGCTGTATGTAACCCAATGATTGGTTGCTAGAAAGTCTAATCTGTTCCCCCGCAACAAATAGGATCTTTTTGGTCAGACTTACATGTGAAATGAAGGAAAATGATTAATTAAAAATGTCAGAAGTGGATAATCTATTCTGAATACAAAAAGTGCATGGGCTAGGCATGACTACTTCATCATCAGACGCTGCATCAATAATCTTGTCAACATAACATTCACTTTGTGAGGTACTTATAGAAGATTTTTAAAATATTTTAAGTCCCAAAGAAAGACCACATACTTTCACTGGGCCTTACCTTCTTGCAGGTGTATCTAAGACTAGAGCTTGATTTGGCTAGGTGCCTTCTGATAGCTTTCAATGGATGATTAGCACATTAAAAGTTGAGCTAGAAAGAGTAGGGCAGAAATGCAGAGACAAAATTACATCTCAGCGAAACACAAGTAACATGTTACAACTGAGATGCAGCATGGAGCCTATATAACTTTAGATTAAAAGTATGACTAATTTTCACAGAAAAATACCATATATGATTTTTTTGGGGGGAAAGAAACTCTCTAACCAATTGCTAAAGGATTCCAGTACTAAAATTTAGTTCAGTCTTTTTTTAATTTCTGCCTAGTTTGACTACAATGTCCATGCTGCCTAGAGATAAAGGGAGGTGTAATCTAATTCAATTGGCAGATGTGGCTTGGAGGAAACTATCTCATACTATAAAATGATAAAGTAAAAGACATTCCTTCTGTGTTAAGTGTAGTTGTAGCCCTTTCCTCTCAGGAAATTGTAAAAAAAGAAAAAAGTTTGTGCACGTAGGGTCACTTAGGTAAGATGGGCAGTATAGAAATTTGATAAATATAAATATATAAATATCAATAAATAGCATGGCTTATAGCACAGTAGAGATAAAAACTGCTAGGTGCATATTTTTTTCTAATATGCATACTTATCTTATCATGTTTTCATAGATCTCTTGAAGTAGAGTCATTTGGAAGCTATCTTTCATCCAATAATGTGGTTGATTTCTGAGTCCCTTCAACCAGGTATGGGTATGCCTTCAGAGTTGTAAAGAGTAAAAGAGGTATAGCCTGTCCATCAAATAATTTTGGTTCTTCTGGCTGTTCTCCAAGGAACTTGCATGAAATAGAACATGCCATCACCATTCACCTGGATGGCATGCATGTACCACTAGAAGTTGGCAAGCTTGTCCATAAATGAACAGCTTGACTATAGTCTTTGTGTGCAGCCCTGCCACTCTTTGTAGCTTAGAAAACTCCTTTCTAATGAAGCATTGCTTTAAAAAAAATAGTAACCCCCATCTTTCCCTCTAGATTGATGCCCTTTGTCAGGATGACAATGGAATGGAATTCTGACTTTGTCCAGAAATCACTGACACTTTGGAAAATTTGCTCAGAAACTGAGGGGCCTGTTCATTATTAGGAGTACAGGGATTATGTTTGAACTTCAGCCATTTCATTTCTATCCTTGGAATGCCATGGAGGGAGTTTGAATCAGTGCTATGAATGAATCCTCTTTATAATAATTAACTGCTCCAGCCTTCATAGAAGAGTTCAATTTATAGAGATAAATGAAAGCTGCTTCAGATACCACAGAGGCAATACAAATTGATGAAGGAACTCAATTAAACATTAGCTATCTTATGACAGGGTATGATAGACAGCAATGAAAATGTGCAGGCAATGAAAACTAATTTGTTATTCTATTTCCACGGTTTTCTTCACTTCCAGAACTGCGTGTGTTCTGGAAGTGCTTTGCACTCAGGAGCCAAATGAGGAAAATCTTACTTCTTGCCCCAGTGATGAACTGATAAATGGGATTTAAAGTTGCAGATGACCAAAGACTTTGACAAAACAATGGAGGTTTTCTTTCCTCCATACTGAAACTTTTCCCACTGATCTACATGACATCTCAAAGTCTGATTTCTCCACATATTTCTAGAAAATGTTTCTATGTAAGCTCTAGAGTGTATGGGGGGGAAATGAAATAAAATATACTTTGTTTGAAATAAAGAAACAGTGGCCTGGTTCACAGGAAAACAACTTTCCAAAAATTGGAAGACATATTTCATGTTTTTGACAGCTTTCTGATTTATGTTAATTTGCATTTGAGGCACATCTTTTTCTTTTTATATAAAAAATAGCTTTTCTATTTTCTAATGGCATATTTGTTCAGATATGTACTGTAGTTGCCTTTTTCTAATGTAAAGTAGACATTTCAGTTATTATAAACTCACGCATAATGGTCCGGCAATAATAACTGCTGTTATTCACCCACTTCTGAACAATGGAACTACAGTAATTATATTCCCTAAGGCAACTATTCTACACAAAGTTAAGTAAACTGGTGAATTTGGATGAAAAGTTTCATATGTGTATATGATTTTCTAAGCATTGGGCAGCGCTGCTCCAAATGCAGCAAATAAGCATTTAGCCGTATTTCGTAGAATACCTAATGAAGCAGGAATATTTAAACTTAAAAACTAAAAAGTTTTGGCTCCTGCTTTCTGCTTTTGCTCTGATGTGAATTAGAGTTGAGGTGGCAATTATTAGAACATTTTATAACAGATATCACCAATTATCCTCCAGGCTTAGGAGGTGAAGTTAACGTGTCACATTTGTGTATTTAAAATTCTTGCTTCTTACTTCCACTATTCTTGGAACCAATAGCATATTCATAGCAAAAACTGACTAATTAGATCATTTGAGGTGAAAGATTGCATCTAAGTAGCCACTTAGACAGGAAGAACATATGGTCCAACTACAGTGGATTCTATTACATGCCAGAAGGATATGTGACAGAACAGCCAAGAACACACTGAATTAAGTAGTAGTAAATTGGTAGTAGTCTTTAACTATGTTTGTACAAGACATTAAACTTCATTTAACAGTTTGGCAAGGCATTTCAATCTAGAATATTGTGTGAACCTAGCCCATATGATTATTTTACAGTTCATCGTGTCACATGAACCCCAACATTGGTTTAATTTGGTAAAATTATGTATAAACTACTCATAAACCATTATGTTTTAGAAAAGCAATGTTTGGAATAAGGCTTAGTCTTTTGCAAAGAGAGGAGAGCTCTGCCAGAGGAAGATATATATAACTACTTTGCATAATTATGACAATCCTAAAAAAAAAAGACTAATGCAGTTAGAAGTTTTAAGAGGTAGAGATCTTTTTCAACAAAGGGCCACCATGGTTTGGGTAGGGCATGCGTGAGGGAGGCACTGGTTGAGAAAGGTGCATGGGATTGTGGTGTGTATGAGAGGTGCCACATGGGTTGGTGAGGGCACATGGGCCATGCAGATTGAGAGACTATGGGAGTGCACAGAAGGGGCTACATGAGTCAAGAAAGGCATGAGGGGGTCAGTAGATATGCATGCAGTATATGAGAGATGCTATGCCTTTTGGGGAAGACATGGAGGGGGTGGTATGGATTGGGAAGGGTGCATGCACATACACAGAGAGTACTGCATGGGTCAGGTAAGGTATGGTAGGGAAGGGTCAGTTGGGAAGGATGGCAGTGTAGCTTGTGAAGTATGTGGGGATTGTGTGAGAGATGCTGTGTGGATTGGGAAAGGCATGTGTGGGTGGCATGGGTCATGAAGGGTGTGACTGTGTGCAAGAAGTGTGCAGGTGCATGGCACTGTGCAAGAGGGTAAGCTATGGAGAGGTAAGACTGAGTAAGAAGGTCATATGCACTATATAGGTCAAATAAGGTATAGAGGGGGCCATGATAGTCAAGGAGAGCACATGGGGGGTGATATGGGCCAGGAAGGGTGTATGGGGATTTCTTTCTCCCTGTTCTTTCCTCTGTCCCTTCCTTTCTTCCCTCCCCTATCTTGCCCTTCCCAGCAGACAGGTAAGTGGTTACTGCTGGGAAGCAGGGAACAAAAGATTGCACAAGTGGCTGGGAAACTGACACAGAATGTTGAAAATGAGGTCACATGAATGCACCAGCCTGGCAGCACTGAAGCAGCACTGAAGCACATTTCCCAAACTTCATTCCCTTGGTAGTAATGGATTCCAGCATTTTATAAGTTTGAGACACCCTTTTTGACAAGATTTTGCCCTAAGATGCACCATTTTGCCCAGTTAAAGGTTAGAGACACAAGAGTCTTACTAGCACATTGTACAACCCGTGCCCAACTGGGCCATTGTAGAGTTGAGATATTTCCTTATCTAAATAGAGAGAGAGAAAGAATGTCTAAGAACAAAAGAGCATTGCAAGCAGCAGCAACTTTCAGCTTCCTGCCAGCTTGACTGTAGCTGACTGCTCTTTAGCAGCTGATGGTTCAACTAGTCTACCCAGCCTTCATAGGGCCAGGACAGGGGCAGTCTACTCAACTTCTGGGTGGCAGTATACCAGCATGGCAGCACTGAAGCAATAACAAATTTGCCAAATTTCAATCCCATGTTAGTCATGCATCCCAGATTTTGGATGCATTGTGTAAGCTAGTCCATTTGGGGTACCTTGATTCGAAAATAGTTGCCTTATGAATGCACTGTTTCACACAGTTAAAGGTTACAGACATGAAAGTTTACTAGTAAATAGATAGATATATTGCAGATCAACCTTTTGATCTATCTTTTGTGAAGAGTTTATTTGGGATATAAAAATTTCCCAGGATCTTGGAAGATCTAATCCTAAAATAGCATGACTGAATTCAGATTGTGACTTGAGATACAAAGGCAGCAAGGTTTTATTGAACCTATTATAAGAATGAGTGTAAACTATAAGAGAGAAGCAATATGCTCTCATACCTTCTTAAATTTTCCCCTGTAGTATTTCTTCAAAGGAAGAGTTAGCAGGGACGAGGAAAGAAAGGCCAGCATACTAATACCCAAAGTGTCCTAAAAAGAGCTTGTAGTGAAGTTGTGCTGAATTAGCACACCAAAAGTATCTTCCTCTAACCTAAAAACTTTTTTAAAACTTCAACATCTGTTTAAAATGTAAGTTCTTATTGAAGTTTGGAAAGCGCACCCTTCTGTGATCATTTACTTTTTAGAACTTTTAGACTTGTTGGCATGACTCACTAGCAAATTTAACCACTTCTAGGAATAAAGTGATACATGCTGTTTCTGCTATTATTATTTAAAAAGTCTGTCTTATAGTGAAAACCTATTGCATGCACAAGAGGTCTAGGTAAAATGTCTTGAACTTACCTCATTAATAGATCTGTGCTGCAGAGACAATGTAGTTATCTTTGTTAAGGCAAAGATGTGGCACAATTTGCCTTAGCAAGACATTTTTGTCTTATTGACCTTTCTCAACCAGCCCTTACAGTAGGGCACTAAAGCAGCATTTAGGGGCGGTAATCTTCCTTATGTAACTTCCAATAACACAAGAACAGCTGAGTGAAAGCGTAGGAAGACTGCAAGTTCAGAGGCCTCCCCTGGCTTTCACAAATGCAGATCAAGGCAGTCAAAGGAAAGAAGTCCATCCACTTCATTTTTAGTCCATTAAGATTCCCACCTAATTTATGGTTTTTTTGTGTGAAAAAAAAAGGAAGGGAAAATATAATGTTGGCACTGAGTTTCCACAGGAAATATCCTCAAGGAATCTTGGAGATACAAAAATGAATTGGGGGAGTTAAGTGGGTTGTTCAGCCCTATGGTTCTTTTCTTCATGACTTTTTGAATTTAGAGTTATTACATATTATGAACTCCTCTTCCTTTCATTTTTCAAGACCCAGAAACAGCAAGAACTTGGAAGCAGACCTCTACGGGAGAGAGATCCCAGGGTCATAACAAGGTACTTCTATAATGATTTTAACTGTGTTTATGAGATTTTAAGTGCTCGCACTTTATTTTTTATTGGGAGCCCTCCCGAGAGCCCGATAGGCAGAAAGATGGGATATAAACCATAAAAATAAATAATGAGCCAATCCAGTAGAATTGCCTTGGTTAGCAAAATCAAAACAAAACAAAAAAACAGTCAAAATTGCTGCCCTACAGACTTCTAAAACTCCAGATTATAGCCTCAGGCTATGATCTCAAGCAGATTTCAAACTTTGGTTGATTCAGAGAATAAAAACATCCAGGCTACCAAGTCACACTTAGGTGGCTGCCAAAACTAAAAGAAATACGGCATATTATAGGATAGCTGGAGAAAGAAGAAAGCTTTGTCTTTTTGTTCTAAAATGTTCAGTTTTGCTTAAAGCATTGAATTAAACATAAGGGATTTTATTCAGTACAATAGCAGGAAGTGTTTCCACTTGTTCGCGACAGGTTATCCATATTTTTCTTCCTGCCCTTTTCCCCCAAATCTGCTTTCAGCATCCAGAGTAGGATAGAATATGGCATAGAATGGTGTTTTACAAAAAGAGGGGGGGAAACGGGTTAAAGCCAAGTACTTACATGATAAATAATTTTCTGCTAATATAAAATATGTTCCTATGCAAGATAAAGATAGTATTAGAATAGTAACTATATACTAAGTTATTCAGTCAGAACTGCTGCCTAGATTTCTTAGGGATCAAGCAAAAGAGAAAAACCTTTTCTCACAAAACTCAATAATTTTTGGCAAGGCCTGTCAGAGTAGGAAAACTTTCCTCTTGAGGGACAAGCATTTGAATTGGAAAAAGCACAAACACCGTAACTGTCAAGTAGCTTCTATCAACCACAAGTTCATAGTTAGTTATCTGACAATCATCATTGGTGTAATTGCAATTATAATTCCACTTTTATTCTTATCTCACAATTATTATTAGCATAATTGCAATTATTCCACTTTTATTCTGGATGTACTCAATCTGATGGAATGAATTCACTTTAAAAAAAATAGATAATGTGATTTAATTCCTGGGAATGAAGTCTGGGGTTCTTGTAGTAATCTTTTTTATAAGGTGACCAAGAGGGTTATGTGATTGTCCATTTTCATAGTACTATCGCCACGTTGTGTGAAAGAAGACTTCAAGATTAGCGCTCCCTCTTCTCCTCATCACTGTTCCCTGTTCCCATGACAGTTTTAATGAAGAACAAGTCTTTGCAGAGATAATATAATACTATCTTAGCTCAGAAAATAGCAATGTGTACTCAGAAATAAGACTCAGTAAGTTCAATTGCATTTTTCCCAGATAATGTGTGTAGAAATACATTTTGGGACCAATTCTAGGAAATAAAGGGGCAATATAGCTTTGTCTTTGATTAACAGCCTAAGAGGAGATATATTCTCAGGGGTGTCTACAACAATGATCATCGGTTTCAAAATGGCAGACACAACCAGGAGACCAAAGCCTGCCCCTTTTCATGCATATTCAATTCAACTCTAGAAGAGTTGGGTCTTGGATCACCCAGTTCACACCTGTCTTTTAAAAGCCAACCACCATCACTGCAGCCACCCCTACATAATTTTCTTCTTTTTAAATTCCTCACCTCCTCAAAGGAAAGATTTATTTTCATCATCATCACCCCCACCCACCCCAAAATAGCTAGGACTTACAGATTTGATAATAGAATAGAATAGAATAGAATAGAATAGAATAGAATAGAATAGAATAGAATAGAATAGAATAGAATAGAATCTGGAAGGGATCTTGGAGGGATCTTGGAGGTCTTCTAGTCGAGCCCAAATTTAATAGTGACAAGATCATAAAAAAGCATGTTTTGCTTTGTTCAATCACCCTGTAGTATCATTGTAATTAAATCCAGTACCGTACCTCAACTGAAATAACTTACAATGACACATTTCCTTGACTATTTACTTAGGTGTTCAGTATGCAGAGCCCATACAACACCCCACACAGAGGCTTGTTTTACTATAAACTCCTCATTAGGGAGTTTGTAGTAAAACAAGCCTCAAGAACAAAAACTAGCTATCAATAACACAAAGCCTTGGTGTTCCTGGACAGCTGGGAGAGTTGCTAATCTAGAAGAGTATCCACATCCATATCAGGTATACACTAATTCAAGTCTTTTTCTTTTGTCAGAAGTTTAATGGGTTAATAAAATGTATTCTGCCACTGTAGCCCGCCATTGTCGCTTGTGATGGAAAAGGCTCTCAGGAGTGTGGGGTTGTTTTTTTCCCCTCTGTTTTGTTCTTTGTTAACAGCAACTGCAGCTGATGTTTTTCACTGAAAAAAGCAGGAGTAGAAGAAAAAAACATTCTGTATACAGAATTCCCTCCTCTATTATCAGGAAAAGTATTGTATGCCCTAATCATAAGGGAAGGTACCAGGACACCTATGACTGCCTAGGCCAGTCCCTCCATGAGATTGCTTAGCCTCTGGCCCCAATTCCTTCCCCCACCTCTCGTTGATGGATCTTGTGCAATCTCATAGCCATTCAAACTCTTGCCTGGCCCTGCAGCAACCCTACATCTTGTGGCTTTTTTCTGGGCTTCTTGGTTTTGTAAATATTTTTCAAGAAAAAAGACAAATCAGGAAAGAGCAATAGACGTACATAGATGTTTCTGTACGAATGAGCAAATGGCTGTAGACAGGGTATTATTTATCTGTGCAAAATTGTATGCTCATGGAGGCGGGGATGCCTTCAGCAATATGTGAACACAAAAGTTATCTGCATAGAGGAAAACGTTTGTCAGTGTGCACACATGCATCAATTGGCAGGTGTGTAGTTAACTCTTACAACTCTTACCCCTCAAGCTTCAAAAGGTTGCCTGCTCTGCCATAACAGTTTACTTATGGCTGTTTGTGAAGTGTTAATTATAAAGTAGCAGATTTCCATTACAGGTTTCATTTTTGCAATTATTGCCTCTATATATTGCAGATGTGAATAGAAACCAGGCAGCCCAGCTGAAAAATATGTTGAGTAGTCAGGCGTGTTCAGGGTTGTTGGTTCAACAGATCACAAACCTTGTGAAGCATCCTCTCCCAGCTGTTTCCTCATGTTGGGTCCTTCTCAGGCCCTTGGGTACTTGATGTGAGTTCTGATTGAATGAAAATTAGATGAGCTTTAAAACTGCCAATTTTCTTCGGCTTCAGATTACATCTACGGGCCTTAAAATGAGAGCATGAATGAAGCTAATTACCAAAGCTGAATATTAATATTTAAAATAAATACATGCATAAATAAAGTGAGGGGAGGCTGAGTTTGCTTTTCTCCTCTTCTTTCTGGGGCCCATTTATTTCTGTGCCTTGTCTTTTATATTCCAATCAGGGTAGTTCTTGCAGCTTTGTGACCCCTTAAATATTAATAATATTATTGATTCATGCTGTACTTAGCATATCTGACACCTGGAGCAGATCATTTTTTTTAATATCCCCTCCTTTACTAAGAGCCAGTTTGATTGAGTGGTTAAAACAATAGACTAGAAACTAGGAGATGTGAGTTCTAGTCCCACCTAACTCACTAAAACAGCTGGGTGAGCTTGGGCCAATTGTTCCTATCATACCTAGGAAAGAATGAGTCTCTTAAAAAAAAATGCTGCTAAGAAAGCTGCAAAATTGACTTGAAGGTATATTTTCCCCCTCCAAACAGCCTATCCACACCCACTACTAGCTTATTTATTTATTTTATTTATTTATTTATGAGACTTATATACCGCTTTAAGTGCAAGCACTCTCTAAGCGGTGTACACCAGTAAGCAATGTATATATATATTTACATTGCCCCCAACAATCTGGGTCCTCATTTTACCTACCTCGGAAGGATGGAAGGCTGAGTCAACCTTGAGCCGGTGAGATTTGAACCGCTGACCTGCTGAACACAGTCAGCTAAAGTGGCCTGCAGTACTGCACTCTAACTGCTGCGCCACCTCGGCTCATAGCTTCTCATAGCTTCTCATATCTTCACCCAGACCATCCTCTTTTCCCACCTGGTATGCCATAAAGTTATGCAGCCAAGATTTTCACCTCAGTCAGATGCTGACAACTCAGTTCAGAGCATCCTGTGTTTGTCCAGACTACTGTTATGCTTATATTGCCATGAAATAGCTATATGCTGGTCAGCATTCCTGCCAGGTAACTGACAGGGGACTGCAGTGGTAGTCATTAGAAGGTCCACACGCAAACTCACCTGCAACCTAAATGTGCACTGCATTTGTTATTTCAGCAAGTAAGAAAAATATCAAACAAAAGCACCCTCTATTTACTTGGAAAAGATTAATGGGTGGAGATCTTTGGGCAATGAAGTCCACACATCTGGAAGTTAGGCTTTAGGATTATGGCTGCCCTGGGTCAAATCTTCCTGATCACATATATGGTTGTTGGATAGCAAGAGGAACATTGGCAAGGAAATTGATGGGGTGTTTTTTTATTGGCCTTGAAATTTTATTTTTAAATGAATGATCACATTCATTAGAGCCTGTTAATTTATAGGCACAGTGAGAATCTGGGTAAGCATGGGAAAGCAAATAAATAACAGTAAGAGAGAATGATTAAAAGGATGAAGGGAAGTAAAACTGAAAGACACATTCCGAACTTTGTAAAAAGATGGGAGATGACATTTCCTTCTGTTGAAACACTCCATTAGGTAATGATGGAAGTGTTGCGCACACAGAGGGAAAATTAGAAAAGGATGCCAAAACTGAGGTATAATTTCATTTATCTGATCATATAGGAAAATATTTCCCTCCACTGCCAAAAAGAAAGCATTCAGCAGTATTGACACCCTAATTTAATGCAGTTTAACAATTAAAGCTGATGGAATTGCAGGATGACTGTTTCTTCCACCTTCCAAGGTCACTCTCACATACCACAACATCCCTTGCTGATGCCTAAACTCTGCAGTTATTTCCTGACTTAATTTCCCTCAAGCAATCTAAGCATTAGGAAGGGGAGGGAGTGGGGGAAGAGGCTGAAGGGCTATAAAACTCACCCAACAAAGGCAGCCTGTTGCTCAGGCTAGCCTTTTCTGATATTCTTTGCACCCACTGCAGGTGACTGGGAAAGGAATTCTGTGTAAGTATGCAGAACTGATCAATAAAGCTTTTCTAATTTTGTTCGTTTAGGCACCTGCCATTCATTCATTCTTCAGAATCTGAACTATGTCCACCCACTTCAGCTGGCAAAACAAGGTAACACAAGTCATATGTTAAAGTGAATGACAGCATGTCTTCACAAGATTATGGGTTCATAGGGAGGCATTATTTTAAAAATAGACACTGGGTAAAGTAAGGCAGTATCTTTATTTCTGAGGCTCCAGGGATTTAAACTTCAAGGTGGGTTTGGCCCCAACACTGATGAAAAGTATAATGATTTCTGTTCGGCCTTGTTTCTTGACAAACAAGGCTGAAATTGAATTGGAGTAAATTTATCACTATCTGATTGTTTTTATATTCAACCTAATAGCATAAGAACTGCTGTGATGTATGCTTTTTCCACTACTATCAAAGCTCTTTAAGCAAATCAGAGCTTTTTATTGTTATTATGGTTCATCGTACAGTCAGCCAGACATTTAAACTGGATCTGGCATTTTTATCCACCGACTGAGTCCTTCCCTGGCATAGGCACATGTTATTTGATGGTGTTAAAGGTATCATAAAGGATATAAGCTGTTCCAATTAAAGCTGCCTTTTATAACTGGTGATTTTGTCAATGCTCATGGTATTCAAATGATGCTCTAGATGTTTTAAGATTAAACCAAATGTCCCTATTGTTTTCCATGTTTCTATATTTGCAATGGATAAACAATTTTTTCTTGCGGCAGTTGGTCCTGGTTGTTCAGCAACAATCCTAAATTCTATAGCCCATTTGTGATCAGATGTCCAGAAACTCCAACATTTAGCATGGTCCTTATTGATTATTATTATGATTGTTCCCACAATCATTCAGATTTTAGACTGGGTTTGGCATTTTTATCAACCCATTGAGTCCTTTTTAAGATTCTGGGATAGGTAGATGTGGATGTTTAATGGTGTTAAATGTATCATCACAAGATGTAAGCTATTCCAAGTAAAGCTGCCTTTTGCAATTAACCAATGGTGGTTTTGTCAGTGCCAATGGTGTTCAAGTGATGCTCCAATTGTTTTGGGATTGCACTCAAGGTGCATATTACTATTGGTACTGCCTTTGTTTTCTTTTGCCATAGTCATTCTATTTCTATTTGCAGGTCTTTGCATTTTATTATCTTCTCCAATTCTTTCTCTTCTGCTGTCTCCAGATATTGCCATTCAGACTTTTTTTTGTCTTTCTTATTGACAATTGCTATGTGGCAGGTGCCTGTCTGTTTGAATTCTAAAGTCCCAGAGCACTTTAGCTTTTTTTCCCTATTATTCTCTCTATTTTGTGGTCCTACCAGTTCTTGCTTGCAGAGAAATGGCACTTCTTGCAGATCTTCCAATGTACCATTGTTGCTACTATGTTATGCCATTGTTGGTAATCAGTCTGTCCGATCTTCTTGCACCAGCTAATTATTTTTATGATTTTCAGGAATCCATGGCAGATTTCATTACAAGGTCTCTACCATTACCCTTTCATTCTGACCTGACTCCCCTCTAGGACTTCTGGGCCACAGAAGTCATCATTTTAAACAATATCATCTTTGACTACAGCCCATAAAAAGGAATACTGTACAGTCATCCGTGTTAAGAAGCTATTTTCCATCATGCTCCTTCACTGAGAGGCTGTGACATTTGTCATTCTTGCTGCCATTAAAAAAGTGTGACTAAATTATTTATTTGTCCCCTCTTTCTTTTCCACATCTTTTTCATCCGAGCTTCATCTTGTCATCTGTGTAATGGAGCTTAGGGACTCTCTTGGTGTTCAGTCAAAGAACCCCTTTTGTGAACAGTTTAATAATTCTAGGAATGATAAATAAATCACCACAATGAATAAACTGGTGAAGAGGAAAAGAACAAAAGAATAGTCCTTAAAAACCAATTGTCCAGTCAAAAAAAAAGAGAGCATTTGGATATAAGAAGCCGGGTGTTAGAAGGACAGGCACTTCAGGACATTTAAAGTAAACATTTACTGTCTCGGGCAGTAAAAAGACAAATCTGTTCTTCAGCTTTGGGTGGACTTGCCATTTTGATGTATGGTTTTCAAAGTAAATGGAAGCATGGAAAAATGCATTTTGCTGTTTGCTGTGAGGATATATTGAGTTGTTACAAAATACAAGTCAATTGGGCACCCTTGGATGGGATGGGCTAAGCATTAAGACTCATTTTCCACTGGAGGCCTAGTTTCTCATCTCTGCACATGTGAAATCAGGATGCCATCTTAATATAGGTCAAGAATTTCCTTGCCAGGCATGACTCTTTTTTTTAAATTTTCTCTTATGCTTCCATGGTAACTAGGCTTAAGAGGACACCCAATAAATTAACAGCACCTCAGACTACTAAACTAGTAGAGCTCAATACTCCTATGAGTGGGGCTTCCTTTTTAACAAGTCCAGAATAATGACCAAGAGGGGAATTAAATAGTCTTCCTGAGGGCATGCAAATGTTTTCCTGTTCTTCCTTGAGGTTAAGAAGCCAGGAAAAAATTTGTTAGAGGGAAATTTTGTCTGAAGTCATTTTTCCCATTGTCAGTTTGAAGCATCTAGAGCAGGTTTCTCAACCCTCGTACATACCTCTTTGTTCTTGATACATATCTCCATACATCTTAATGTTGCTGAGGTTGAGAAACACTGCTCTAGAGTCATTCAACCATTGTAGAGGTGAACAGTAAAGTGGAAAGGCTTCATATCAAGGATGCCTTTGTGGTGTTTTGAGAATGCTGTACATCCTAAGTGCAGGAGAGAGAGATGATAGGACCTGCTCTAGGATATTTCTAGGGCTTGGGGGGAAAACCCAGTCACACACATCATTTATTTTCTTTTATTTTGATATACTCAAAGCTTGGCTCAGTTTCTTTCACAGCTATTGTCCATGAGCCTCAATCTCCATTTTTGATCAAGATTGGGTGGTATTGGGTGGCTATTCCTTTGCTCACTGATTACTTTTGAATCCAGATTTTTTTTTAAAGAACTTTAATGCACTTTCATGTTCTGTAGTTGTGCATACCCTCACAAACCCAATCTTATTTCAAATGGTCATTTTGTGTACGAGCTTGAGCCTTGGGGTTTGTTAGTTGTTTTGCTCCAGTAAGTTCTGTAAAGTTACCTTGTGTTTTACTTTATTAGGAGAAAGGGGGAAGGTGTTTTCCTTCTCACAGTCTTGCTCCTATCTCCCTAGTTTGAGAATTTGGGGAGGAGAGAAAGAAAGAAGATGGTGGCAGGAAATTAAGTATCAATGAAGGCTATCTCTGTTGAACTGATTGGATAAAGTAGACTTAATTGTGGGAGGGAGGGAGGGAGGGAGGGAGAGAGAGAGAGAGAGAGAGAGAGAGAGAGAGAGAGAGAATGTTCGTTTATTTGTTTGTTTGTTTGTTTATACCATCCAACTTCCAATTACAGTATTCTATAGCAGTGTTTCTCTTTTTGTTCTTGGGGAAAAAAACCCTACATTTAAAAATTAAGTTTTGTTTTGTTTTGCCTTATATTTATTGTTATTATATTAAAAATTAAAATTGGTGCATTTGTAGATATTTATTAAAAATGTAAAAATAATGTGAAATTCATTATGCATAGCATAACATGTTTTAATTATTATTTTATTTATTATTTTATTAATAATAATAACAATAATCTTATGGACCCTTGAAAGAGTCTTGGGGAATTCCCAAAGACCCTTGAACCACACTTTAAGAAACATTCCTCTAAAGTGACAGACTGTAGAGTTTCACTTGATAAGAAAATTTGAATGCTGCCATTGTCCTGGTAATGATGGACAGCTGAGCCAAGGGGTTCTTTTTAGGATTCAGAAGCAATAAGCAAACTTAAGGAATGTAAACAATGCAACAAAAGTTTATTTGCTGCAAGACTGAAAGTACAGAGAGACGCATAAGGAAATTACAGTATTATCCAAATACATGCCAGTTCTTCAAGACAGCAGATGATGCTGCCAGCTGGTCCCATAGAGCATAAGACTTTTTTGGATGGTCTACATTGAAGTCCTGCAAAATGCAATTGTCCGCAACTGCTTTTTAAATTTTAAATTTGACTATTTTGATCATGAGCTTGTCCTTGGGCAAAGCGTGAAGGGCAACCTTACCTGAATATGTCTGAATCTTTGCAGGTATGCTATCAGGGAGCAACTTGATGCTGACAGAAGAATCATATACTTAGCTTTGTGTCAGTTTTCTACATTGGAGGAATTCCAAGTACAAATAGCTAAGCAAGAAAAGAAGTAAATTACTTTCAGCCTGTTAGTTTGAGGTGAAAAATCTGACACTCTACTATACTTTCTCACCCAATCTTCCCCAATTTCAATACAGCCGGAGAATGTAGCATCTCTTCTTTACCATTAAAAAGAACCATTGCAATGTTGAACAAGAGTGTTTCATTTGGACTGAAGGCTATTCTGTAAATCTTTATAGTAAGCGGGAAGGTAAATTGAGCAGGTGTCCCTAACTACCTGATAAAGCAGATCTGTAATGAGTGATATTATCAGGAAGAAGGTCTGGTCTTGATCAAGACAAGGTAGTCATGAATTATATTTCAATTTACATTTGTGTAGAAAGACAACTGATATAAAATCAGTGGAAACTGATGCTGCATTCATACCACTGAGTGTTTATTTACTTTATTTATGTAATCCAATTTGGACTCTGAGTAGTTCATAAATAGTAATATAAAAGCCAGTGCAAACCGAAAACAAAAGGGCAACTAGACACACTATACAAACAGAAAGCAAAAAAACAAAAATCAGACATACCCAAGGAGCCTCATTTGTCACATCATAAGATCTGGAAGAACAATCAGATCTTCAACATTTTATGGAATGCCAACAGAATGGCAGCTACATGGACCTCACTCCAAAGGGCTCTAGGAATATTTGGGCATCTATTACATCATTAGTAGCAATGCAACAAATCTTCAGTAATTGTGGCAATCCTAACAAAAGGCTTGGCTTGGCTTGATTTTGTTTTAAACCATGTATTTTATTTTAGTTTTTTGAATACTGATCAACTTCCCTGAAAATATATGGAATATTGTTATGTTTTAAATATCTCTAAAGGAAAAGTCATTGATCCTTGGTCTTTTGAAAAAACAGTGAGAAATCCAAAAGAAAGCTAGCAAGAGTAATCCTCCTCCTTCAGTTTCCTATGCAAAAATCTCTCTGCAAACCAGCTGAGCTACATCAACATTAGGGCTCATACTGACATCCGCTGGCAAGTAGGGTTTCTAGCATTAGTTTCTCTGATAGAGTCTGTCCAGCTTTCCAAGGAAGGAAGGGAGGGAGGAAGGATGCATTTTTTACTTTACCGGTTGCCACTGTAGGTTTTTAATTAAAAGGCAGGGTATAATTTTTTTTGAGTAATTAATGAAGACTCCACCATTGTTAAATAAATTATGATCTACAATTAATCAGTAGTGCCATTCTGTTTCTAATATAGTGGAGTCAATCGGTTCTGGCATTCCACCTAGCAGTGTTGTAATGACTATACATCCTTTATCATGTTTTTATTTTTCCAGGAATATGCATGAACCATGACTGCTAAAAACAGCACCTTCCCGCTGAAAGAGCAGCATCTCCCCAGAAATTTGCACAGCAGCCATTCTACAAGAGTTCCACAAGTTTTTGAAAATGTAGCTGTGCTCACTGCAGCGAGGTTATTAAGTGGAAAGGTCCAGCTCTACTACAATGGAGGAATGGTGATTGGTGAAGGTGATGATTATTTCAAAAAAGCAGAATAACATCCTGCCTCCCCCTCCCCCCAATTTTCCTAACTGAGGTTTGAAAGAAGAAAAAGCAGTATGTCAGTTATAAATATCATAAATGTGAAATTATAGCATAATATAATAAATTCTAATATCCTTCAATTTGGCAATTTTAAAACCAATATACGGTACTGTTTTCAACATTATCTGTATGTTTGTGCATGTGTGCATATGTTTTGAATGTGTACATATGTGTGGGTATCTCTCTCTCTCTCTCTCTTTGTATGTGTGTGTGTGTGTATCTATGTGTGTGTGTGTATATATTTATATGCTGTGTTTTTGTGTGGGTATGCACACATAAACACACACCAACTGTGTGATCCATTAGGTCATTGTTAGGTCCAAAGAAATCAGGAATGACAGAGTTAGCCACTGGGTAATTTGCAGACGGACACACTGACTCAACCCAGCCCATCTGACAGGGTTGCTGTTGTGGGGAAATAGGAAGCAGGAAAAAGCAATGGCACCTCCTTGATTTATATATAAAATATTATATATATATATATATATATATATATATATATATATATATATATATATATATGTGTGTGTGTGTGTGTGTGTGTGTGTGTGTGTGTGTGTGTGTGTAGGTGTGTGCGGTCTTTGGTTGTTCTGGTTTTCTCGCGCGTAAAATTGGAAGTGTCTTGGCGACGTTTCGACGAAGTCCCATTCGTCATCTTCAGGCTGGTGTTTTCAGCTTCGTGCTTCGAGCAGCAAAGCTGAAGCTGCTCGAAGCACAAAGCTGAAAACACCAGCCTGAAGATGACGAATGGGACTTCGTCGAAACGTCGCCAAGACACTTCCAATTTTACACGGGAGAAAACCCGAACAACCAAAGACCTACATACAAACACCCACGAAAATCTCAGAACACACACACACACACACACACACACACACACACACACATATACATATATATAATATTATATATTATAATATAAATATTATAATAATAATATTGATAGATTATACCTGCCCTGCAGAAATGGAGGCAGAGGTTTACTTAAGATCAAACAAACTGTCAAAGAAGAAAAGCATGAATTGGCTGAGTATGTAAAAGACAGCTAAGCACAAGCACTGGTTCAAGTTAAAAACTGGAACTTACATGAATACATAATGTGGCTGTGGGGGTCCCAGTGGTCATTGACAGATTAGGAGCCATGGCAAAAAAATCTTGGACGGCACTTAGAAAATTTGTGGATTGACAAAATTTCCAGCTGTCAATTACCAAAGGCCACACTGCTTGAATCTGCACATATCCTAAACCAACACATTAAGACATTCTAGTAATTGTGATAAACTCAATGCGTATGAAAGGCAACCCCAGCTAAAGAGCTGGCAGCTGTAATTTCACATTGTTGTATATAAAAAAGCAAAGGTAGTACTCATAATTAGAATAGAATAGAGCTGGAAGGGACCTTGGAGGTCTCCTAGTCCAGCCCCCTGCTCAAGCAGGAGGACCTATACCATCTCAGACAAGTCACTGTCTAGCCTCTTCTTGAAGATCTCCCATGATGGAGCGCCCATGATTTCTGGAGGCAAGGTGTTCCACTGGTTAATTGTCCTCACTGTCAGGAAGTTTCTCCTTAATTCCAGGTTGCTTCTCTCTTTGTTCAGTTTCCAACCATTGTTTCTTGTCCTGTCCTCTGGTGCTTTGGTGAATAATGTGATCCCCTCTTCTTTGTGGCAGCCACTCATATACTGGAACACTGCTATCATGTCTCCTCTATTTCTTCTTTTCTTAGACTAACCAAATCCAAATCCTGCAGCTGTTCTTCATATATTTTAGTCTCCAGGCCTTGGATCATCTTAGTTGCTCTTCTCTGAATTTTTTCCAGACTCTCAACATCCTTTTTGTGATATAGTGACCAATATTGGCTGCAGTATTCCAGGTGTGGTCTTACTAGGGTTTTATAAAGCAGTAATAATAGGCACCTTGGGTGTGATCCCAAAACATGTGAAGCACCACTTAAACACCATTAGCATTGACAAAATGACCATCAGTCGATTGTAAAAGGCAGCTTTATTTGGAACAGCTTATATTCCATGATTATATTTTTAACGCCATCAGACAAGATCTCCTATTCAAAGTCCTTGGGGAGAACCTGATATGCTGATAAAAATGCCAAATCCTGTCAAATCATCTGGCTGACTATGCAATACATTTGGAGACAAAGCATCAAAAGAAAAAGAGAATTATACCCTCCACCAGCTACAGGGCTGATGGGTCTTATTAATCCTTTGTTTCATTTAGCAATCAGTGCAGCATTTGTTATGATCTTGTTAACAGGGCAATAAATCTTGAGAGGAAAAGTAATCTCTTTCACAAATAAGTTGGATGTAAATAAGATGGATACATGCACAGAATTTTACTAAATTTCAAGGGAAAATTGTGCCTACAAGAGTTTCTCTCTACCACAGGAGAGAAAGTTTTTGTTTTCCTGTTCAAATCCTTTCTAATTGAGTCCCCACTGTTATAAAGACAATTAAAAACAAGTTTGGACTATTCTTTCCCTAAAATTCTAGCAGACTACACATTGCCCAAGCTTGTCATAGAACATCTTAAAAATAATCAGTTTAACAAACAGTGCCATCTACTGAAAGAAAAGATATTTTAGAAGTAGATGTAACAAAATATTTCTATACCTACGCTTACAAAATATAAAACTTGGATCACATTTCCTGTGGGTGATTCACATCAGTGAATGGAAAGTTGAAAAGAAAGGGGTCAACTCTAGGATCTAAGGGCCACAGATGAAACTTTGCATCATCTTAAGAAACAATCCAATCATAAAGCAAAGCAGAGCAAAGCAGGAAAGATACTATAAGTCAGAATGTTTGTTGTGCATTTTTTAAAACTATGCTGCAATTAACTGGCAAAATGAGGCCAAAGGTAGGCAAAATTAAGGAAAGAGAAATGTGAACAGGCACTAGGTGAAAAGTTGACTCTGTCCACTGTATATACCTCTATCAAAAGCCACGTAAATTTCCAGAGCTATTGAAAACAATACTATGGGTTAATTATCATGGAATGGAGGTTTGGTTATTTCACCTGTAGCTCTTTTACATAACAGCAGCAGAATGGAGATAGCAAGTAGGATCCTGGGTGATTTATTCTGCAACAAAAATCAAACAACTTGGTGGACTCAGAAGATGTATCCAATGGGTTTATCATGCATGGATGTATTTGCGGAAGATTTGGGAAACTTGCATTAGCACAATTCTATGCAGAAAGACTTCTTCTCTGTTATTGTGGAGGGTAGTAAGTCAAACATTAGGACAAAACTTACATGAGATAAAATAGGCCAAAGTAACTCCATAGTATCCTGATAGAGGTATACTAATTGCACATAGCTAATGAAGAGACAGCTGATGTATGAGCAACTATTATTAGAAAAATGATTAAAGGAGCTTTCTGAGAACAAAGAGGTGGGTTGTTAATGATTTGATGCATGCTGGCTTTTGCATCGTCTTCAAGCAATGTTCAAATAGGTATGAGACGGTCAAGCGCAAAAGACCTGGACCACACATTAAGTTCCAATTAAGGTGATTTATTGCACGTGCCTATGCACGAGAATCTAGTCAACCAGCGGTCAGTACCATTTTGTCACTTAATAAGGGTTAATGGATTTCAAGAGAGGTTGGACTTGGATTGCTTGTGGAAATGTAGTGACTCAAGGCTGATTCTTCTTTTGACTCTGCCCCCCCCCCGGGGTTCTGCCATTCCTTCTCCTATAGAGATTGTGGAACCCAAGACATGCTGAATTATAATGCTTATTGAAAAGGCTTGTTGAAAGATGCTTTTGTCCAAAATTCTCAACCATCATTTCCTGGACCTATCCTAGGTCTCAGCCAACTAGTAGTGGGGATTAGAATGAATGACAAGTGAGTGTGATTGCTGTTGACTTGCTTGGAATCAATAGAGCTTTGTTGCTGTTGAGTTTTTATGCTTATTTTTTCACTGCAGAAGATCTGCTTACTTTTCTGAAGAAGACAGTTACCCATCTGTGCTGGCTGGCCAAAACCTGCTTTCCTGGCAATTGAAGAGGGGAAGGACTTTATAGTTTGCCAGCTGAATTCTAGTGCAACATTGTGTAGCCCCCAGTTTGGGTATTCAGGCATTCTGCATGATCTAGAATGCCTGAAAAATGCTAAAATCTGCAAGGGCTGCCAAATGGCAAATTTGTACTATGAATCTCTCTTTTCTCAGAGCCAAGGGAGTCTTAAGTGAGCTTCCGTGTCATACCAAATTGACACACATAATCCAAGACACTATGATCGTCTGAAAATCTAAAACCTGGGCACTTTGTAAACATCACTAAACACAGGCTTCCCCTTCCTCCAAGTTGGAAAAGATTATAATAAATAAACACAAGAAGGTAATGAACTATAAAATAAAGTTTAAGCAGAGGTGATGGTTGGATTCATTTCTAAATCATTATTGTAATTCTCTACTATGAAACCTATCTAGCAGCATCCAGAACAAGACAAGAAATTCCTAGAAGTTGAGAGTTTCAAAGGCACCTGTGATTGGAGGAGGAAGAATGAACCCATCCAGAGCAATAAGGCAGGCTTCAGATGCAGCAGACATTCAAAGATGGTGAGGTCCTCAGCTTATGAGAGATTTTTCCAGTAGAAGGCTGGGATATGTGTGTGTGCGTGTGTACACTCATAATCCACCTAGAGATTCAGCTATAAATTCAAAGGCAGCACACAAGCATCCCTACCTTCTTGTTAGTGGAAGTAGAAAACATTTCCCTTTTAAAGAACCATATTCTTTCCCCATATTTTATGCATCCTTTCTGCATGCATATTATGCACCTTCACATTTCTGAACACTTCCAGATTAGACCTACATCTAGGCCCCTGAGGCTCACATAAAATCCTGCTGCACACCTTTCAGTGCTATAAAACAAGTCCTCCAGCAGTACCAGACGCCCTAATATAGAGACTGTTATGTCCCGAGACTTGCAAACGGCTCGGGCATTTGCAGGCAGTCACGGGCAGGTGCAAAGCTGCCCGGGACCAGACAGGCTGTCGCCAGCGCCGTGCGCATGCGCGGGTGCTGGCGCGGGAAAAGTATCACATTTACCCAGGAAGCGTCTATATAAGAAGCTGGGAGGTTTTGGGAGCTGCTGAAGCCATCTACTTGTAAGCTGAACGCTGAATAAAGGAAACTGAGAACTTCAACTGCTTCTCGTGTCTGCTTCCCGTCAAGGACTCAACACTGGTGACGAGGGTGGGATTGCCTTACACCGCCTGGAAAGGAAGAAGTGTAAGCTTACCCAAGTGAGTCCTGAGCGGCGGAACGGCGTCGACTCGGCAGCTACCCGCCAATCCAGTGCGCATTCGGGGGTAGGCTGGCTGATAGACCCATCTTCTGAAGATGGCGAAAATCGGAAGGCTTTCGGAATTCGACGTCTCACATCCAGAGAGGTGGGAGTCATACGTAGCCAGGGTGGAGAACTACTTCAAGGCAAACCAAGTGAGGGAAGAGAGCTTGAAGGCTGCCACCCTGCTTTGTGTTTGCGGTCAAGACGCCTTCGACATCGCAGAAAACCTTGCAGCACCTGTTCCAGTAGAGTCTGTCAGCTACGCAGATCTGAAGAAGCTACTGAAGGAGCACTTCCACTCCAAGATGTCCGTCATCGCATGGCGCCACACCTTCGAGCAGAGGGATCAACGGCCCGGTGAGTCGGCCAAAGAATTCATCGCCGCATTACGGAAGGCCGCCAAGCACTGCGAGTTCAAAGACCTCGAAGAACGACTGAGGGACCGATTCGTGTGCGGGTTAAGGCATCGAGATCTACAACAAAGACTTTTTGCTAAAGAAGAATTGTCCTACCAAGATGCCTTAAGGGAAGTCACCGCAGAAGAAGCAGCAGGTGGCGCTGTCAAGAACATGCGGCCGATCAGAAACAGTCCAGAGGGTGCATCCGTGCACCAGGAAGACGTCCAACGAAACTCCGAGGAGGATCCGGATGAGGAATAGCTCGAAGTCGACCCGTCTCCACTCCACCGACGGAACGAAAACAGAAGTGGAAGGGGAAGCTCTTCAGCTATGCTCAAGTGCATCTGGCGCTGGAGGTACGACCACAGGAGAATCCGACTGCCAAGTTCCGCCCAAATCCCGTCTACCTGCCGGGCATGCGGCAAACAAGGACACATGCAAGCTGGTGTCTGGGACGACGAAAGTGTATAACCTCAGGAAGAACTGCGCTGAAAGGTAACCAGATTCCCCAGACCAAGAAATCGGGTAGGTTTTTTGGAGCTTCGCCGAAGAAGCATCCTTAGGACAGGCACACACAAGGCCCATTAAGAAAAAGCTTGGTCACTCAAGGTGAAAGCTACAAGGGGCTTCCATTATCTAAGGAACTAGACACGGGGTCTGCACTTTCAATCATCTCCGTGCCTACTTTTAGGAAGATTTGTTCTGGTAGTGGAACTCAGGCCAAGTTAAGGCCTTCTGACATTGTGTTAACAGATTTTCAGAATTCAGAGTGTGTGTTAAGGGGGAGGCCACCCTTAACGTACAAGTATAAGAATTTTGAAGGTCCACTAGACCTATTAGTAGTAGGGGGTGAACGAACGAGTCTCATAGGACTCGATTGAGTTTGAGGCCCTGGGGATACACATCATAGGACTCAACAGTTTACAAACACTCGACCTACAGGAAGTCTGCAAAGAATTTGCAGATGTTTTCAGCCCCCAGCTGGGCACATTCAAAGGACCCCCTGTGTCCTTAAAGCTAGACCCCACTGTCACTCCCATTAGAATTAAAGCAAGAAGGGTCCCTTTTGCTTTAAAGAGTAAAATTGACACTGACTTAGACAAACTGATTCCACAGGGAATCCTAGAACCTGTTGATTCCAGTCCTTGGGAGACCCCCATTGTCACGCCTCTAAAGGCAAATGGGGACATTCTCATTTGTGCTGACTACAAATGCACTCTGAATAAGGCATTGCAGCAACATGCCTATCCTGTTCCTGTGGTCAGTCATATTCTGGCCTCCCTCAAGGGGGGGCGCGTTTTTGCAAAGCTTGACCTAGCTCAAGCGTATCAACAGCTGCCTGTTGATGATGATGCTGCTATAGCTCAGACTATTGTGACCCACAGGGGAGCCTTTAAGGTAAAAAGGCTGCAGTTTGGAGTGAATGTCGCTCCTGGGATTTTCCAAAGCGTAATGGAAAACACACTACGGGGTATACCAGGGGTTTGCCCCTACTTTGATGATGTCTTAATTGCAGGAGACTCCACACACATTCTAGCTGAAAGGCTAAGGGCTGTTCTGTTAAGATTCAGGAAGTCAGGCCTCAAGCTCAAAAAAGACAAATGCAAGATTGGGGTGCCTTCTACTGAATTTCTGGGGTTCAAAATTGATGCTGCTGGGATTCACCCTGCTGAATCCAAACTAACAGCTATTTTAGAAGCACCTAGGCCAAAGTCCAAGGCCGAACTTCAGGCCTTCCTGGGCCTCCTGAATTTCTACAATTCTTTTCTTCCTCATAAAGCTAGTGTAGCTGAGCCTCTTCACAGGCTACTAGACAAACAAGCAGTGTGGCAGTGGTCACAAACACATGAGGCTTGCTTTAACAAAGTCAAGGCCTTGCTCACTTCTAACAGTGTACTTGCACATTTCAACGAATCTCTTCCTGTGTGCATCGCATGTGATGCGTCCCCTTACGGGGTAGGAGCTGTCCTGAGCCACCTCAGGTCTGATGGAACTCAGGTTCCTGTTGCATATTACTCCAGAACATTGTCTTCTGCTGAGCGCAACTACGCTCAGATAGACAGGGAGGCTCTGGCTGTTGTTGCTGGAATTAAAAAATTCCACGATTTTCTATATGGCAGGCATTTCACGGTCTTTACTGACCATAAGCCTCTGCTGGGACTGTTTACCACACGTAAGCAGACTCCCCAAATCATTTCCCCTAGAATGCTTAGGTGGTCTATTTTTCTGTCTGCATATGATTTTTCTTTACTCCACAAGCCTGGGAAAGAAATGGGCCATGCTGATGGCCTCAGTAGATTGCCTCTGCCAGTAGTAGAAGCTGACCCTGCGCCAGCTGTCAACATTCTATCAATCCAAGCCTTGCCCGAGCTCCCTCTTTGTGCCAGGGATGTTGCCGCTGAAACAGGTACAGATCACACACTTTCACGTGTCCGTTCCTGGGTTTTTTGTCCGGTTGGCCTGAGCACTGCCCTAGTCCTGAGTTTCAGAGTTTCTGGTCCAAAAGAAACGAGTTGTCCCTTTCTCAGGGTTGTCTGCTTTGGGGAAACAGAGTTGTCATTCCCTCCTCAATGAGGACTAGGGTCTTAGAATCCCTCCACGAGGGTCATCCTGGCATTGTTCGTATGAAGGCTCTTGCACGCAGCCACTTGTGGTGGCCTGTTTTAGATAAGGATATTGAGGCTAAGGTGCATGCATGCCACCTGTGCCAACGATCTCGCCCAGAGATGCCCCAAGCTCCCGTGCATAAATGGGAGGAAACGCAGTCCCCATGGTCTAGGGTGCACATTGACTACGCTGGGCCCTTTCAGGGCCAGTTCTTCTTGGTCCTTGTTGACAGCCATTCAAAATGGCTTGAGGTTGTACCTGTCTCTTCCACCACCACTGCAAAGACTATTCAGGTACTGAGGGGGATTTTTGCTGCACACGGGCTTCCAGATGTCATCGTGTCTGACAACGGCCCTCAATTCACTTCCTCCGAATTCCAAGCTTTCTTACAGGCTAACATGATTCGTCATGCCACGTCTGCACCCTTCCACCCGTCCACCAACGGCATGGCTGAACGTATGGTGCGCATCACAAAGGACGCCTTGAAGAGACTCACCTACGGGACTGGCATCACAGGTTGGCTGACTTTCTCCTTTCTTATCGCACCACACCGTCCACTTCTACAGGGAGAAGCCCAGCTGAACTTCGTTGGGGGCGTCAACTTACTACTAAACTTGACCGGTTGCATCCGGACAGACTGCTTTCATCTACCTCACATCCTAGGGCACCTAGACAACTACTTGTGGGTGCCCCGGTTTGGGCTCGCAATTACGGGCCTGGTCATACCTGGGTCCCCGCTTCTATTTCCAGGGTCACAGGTCCTCTCTCCTACGAGGTTGCCCTGGACAACGGTCGTGTCCTGCGTCGGCACATCGACCAACTCCGCCCTAGGCGGGACTTTTCAGATGAGACTCCTGGGTCTTTTCCAGGGGGGGAGGGGGACCCTTTGGAGCAAAGGGAAGGGCACGAGCTGCTGCCCATCTCCACTGATGGAGCCACAAACGGCCCATCCCAGGGTTCCGCGAGAGCTCCGAACAAGAATTCTATGAGCCTACCTAACTACCAGGCATCCACGCCTACTCCAGCCAGGGAGTCACCCCGGGGGCATACTCACTTTCCACACACATCACACAGCACTCCAGTCACGGAGGATACCCGGGGGCATCCCAACAAATCATTCCCCGCAAGAGAGCTGGCACACAATCCCCAAGGTTGGCCTGACCTTACCCCAAATCCTACAGGGGGTCAAACATACAGGGAGGTGGTCGAGGAACCAAGTCCCGACTACAACACCTCTAGCCCAAATCAGGGAGTAACTGAGTTTTGGGAAAGTACAGAAACCCACACAAGCCCGGACACAGAACGGGGTTCAGGGAATGGTCAGCCTCCTGACAGGTCTTGGACGGACCTAGGAGGTTCAACAGAGACGCCCAGCAGTGGCTATCACTTCAAGGGGCCCGAGGGTCTACAGCTAGGCAGGTCAACCAGGTCACAAAGTGACAGAAGCCCTGGCCTGACGAGCCCGGTGGGCAAGCAAGCAGGCCAGGCATCGGGGCACAGTCCTTGGAAGGCACCAAGGCAAAATAAGGAGAACAGGCTCACATCTCCCTCCAGTCAGGGAACTCATGCTAGTAACCCAGAGCTGAGAAGGTCACAGAGAGCAAAGAAGTCTCCTAAATACTTAGAGGATTACATAACATTGATGGCTAAACAAAAGCCAGGTAACGATAGGAGCACTGAGAAGCAGAACACT